GAATTACTGGGTGCTAGTACGAAGGTCAAAGAAGACGGGGACGGCAAAGGATGAGATGGTTAGACAGTGTCATAGATGCAACGAACATGAAGTTGAGCAAACTTCAGAGGACGGCGGAAGACCGGAAGGCCTGGCGTGATCTGGTCCAGGGGGGCACCCCCCCCAGACCTGTGGGCTGGCAGACCTATACTGGACTCAAACCTAGCTGTTCTACTGCAGCCCAACACAGCGACTCTCTGAAACTATCTCCGTAGAACTGGGAGTGTGCGAATTAAATCATCGGGAACGAGTCATCAGACTGGGGAGTCTTGTGATGGAATTACTGGGCGCTAGTACGAAGGTCAAAGAAGACGGGGACGGCAAAGGATGAGATGGTTAGACAGTGTCATAGATGCAACGAACATGAAGTTGAGCAAACTTCAGAGGACGGCGGAAGACCGGAAGGGCTGGCAGGATCTGGTCCATGGGGTCGCGAAGAGTGATGATGATGATGATGATGATGATGATGATGATGATGATGATGATGATGATGATGATGATGATGATATACTTTATTGTCATTGTACATAGTACAACAAAATTAAAGGTGCAATCATTTCAGTGATCTACAGCCATACTCATATACACTCACACAACCTCGACTGTGCGACTGAACAACAACAACAGTACGAAGACAGATTTGCAGGCATGAACCAAGTCATATCTCTGGCAGGAACCAGGGGACTGTTGGAAATACATGTGTTGAGAGGTCTAAATTAAGTCATTATAGGGTTAATGTGTTTACCTTGTGTCCTATTGTTTAGACTGACCTGGAAGGTAACCTGGCAGCCTTTTTGCTAAGAAATCGGTTAATGTATTCAGGTGATTTCCTTCTAGTGGTCAAGAAGAATCTCCATTACGAACTGGTGTGTCTTTTGTTGTAAAGCAACAGCAAGAATGTAGTCTTAAGTTTTTGTTGTTTTGTAGATTTCCCCCGTACCTTTCCCTTTAGAAATAAAGATTTTTACATACAAAGGCTATGCCTCCACTCCAGTGAACAAAGATCCATTGCAAGCCCTGAATATCTAACTACTTTTACCAAATTTTCCAATAGGGACAATGTGGGAAGATTTGGATCACTGGTTCCCAGCCATCGGAGGGCACTTCCCGTCCAAATTGCATTAGTGGTCAAATGACTGCATACCATGTGAAAGACGATACAGGGGAGCGGCGTCTTTGTCTTCTAAGCCTGGTGTGGCTTGATTGCTTTTGTCCTGTTGGCACATTGGCACTGCCTGGCTTTCTCTCGCCGAAAGGCTGCAGTGCTGTGTCCATTGCTACAAAAGCATTGCTGTAAGGTCCATCTTGAGACACAGAATGGAACCATTCCTTCCTCTGCTCTGTGCTTGCCTCCTGGGGGCTGGGACTTGCTCACACTCACAAGTTGGGCTGGGAGGAGGGTGCAGAGGAAAACCCACGTGGGCGGACTGGAGAGCCAGCAGTGCAGCACTGGGCAGACACTCCCACTCTGTTTTACTGCCGCAGATGAGGTTGTTCCACCATGCTGGAGCCACAATCCGAGTGGCTCCGCCCACTTCTCCCCGAGCAGTCTCCTGTTCCCTCCCTTGCACTAGTTGCTCGTGAGCCCTGGATGGGCTGGTTCTGGCCCCCGGGCCTTATGTTTGACACCCTTGGTCTAACCCGATCCCATCAGCTCTCAGAAGCTAAGCAAGGTTGGTACTTGGAAGGGAGACCACCAAGGAAGAGTCCGCAGAGGAAGGCAAATGGCAAACCCCTTCTGCTTCCCACTCGCCCCGAAAGCCTCTTGCTGGGGCCCTCATGCGTCAGCTGCAACTTGACGGCACGTATGCACATACCCATGGGGCAACAGCGTATGTGGCAGGACACTCCTGGTTTGAACTTTGGCAGACCCTAACAACATCTACGAGAAAATCCAAGAGCCGTTGCTTATGAAAACAAGTTTTACTCTTCAAATCATTATTGTGGTATCAATACATACAATCTCGAGGAAGTTGATTCATGATCCAATAGAACAGCGCAGAACTGACAATCCCAGCTATTTACAATAGAAGACACAACAGGAATGTCCCTGGCTTCTTCCTGGCTCCGGAATAGGAGATTGACCTCCAACGTGTGCAAAGAAAATACTTATATTTTTATAAGAGGACACGAAAAGCATCATATTGGCCCAGCCAGTGACCACTGAGTCAACAAATATGAGTGACCTGACGTTGCCGGTGGGCTACGTGGGACTACAATCCCAACATATTCCTTATTGCAGGGGTCTGCAACCTTTTACAATTAGAGAACTGAACTGTGTACCAAATCAGAGCAAGAGATCCGCAAAGTGCTGGTATAAGAATACCCATCTGTGCAACTGAAAATGTATTTATTTATTCGGCTTTTATCCTACAATTTAACATTACTGAGAATTGACATGTTGATCATTAATCCATAAAGTTTCCACAGGACAAACAACAGCTGTCTATGTCCTTTATCAGGAAGCGGCACATCCAAGAGATCTCCTGATAAGTGATAAATCTACACCAGTGCACCCTGTTCAATTTCTTTAGTGTGATGGCATAAAGCTGTGCATGGTGAGCTCTGGGGATTCCTTGTAACTGTTCCCCTTCTAGAGATGGACACAAACTGAACCATGAAGCAAAATCCGTGACAAATTTTGCCCCGTTGTGGTTTGCATACCAAAGTTCATGACAGATCTACCGTCATGAACTTCCAGAAACATTTAAAGAAGTTAATGGTGGTTCATGAATAGAGCAGAAAGCAGGGGTTTCAAAGGACTCCCTTTAAACCCCTGCTTTCTGCTCCCCTCCACTCAGCTATTTCGGGCTTTCTTGTGCAGTACCTTTCAACTTTAAATGTGTTTAAAGGGGCTGCACAAGAAAGCTCAAGAAACAGTTGAGTGGCAGGGCGCAGCCTGCTCTCCGTTTTCGGGCTTTCTTGTGCTGTCCTGGACTGTACAAGAAAGCTCAAACAGCTGTGCAGTGAGGAGCAGTCTGCTCCCCACTGCTCAGCTGTTTTTGCAGCTTTCTGCAAACCCCATTTGCGGACCCTTTCAACAGGGTTTGCTGGGGGGCATGAACCACAAACTGATTCGGCTTGCCAGTGAACCTCCTAGTTCAGTTTTTTTTTTGCAGTTCATGCCCATCCCTAACCACTTCCCTTTCTGAAAACTATCTCTATGAAGCCTGTTAGTTCCATAAAAATCTTTGCCTGTCTCACCTTGCAACCTAGGCTTTCTAGCATCCCTCCAATACATCTTAACTTAGACCGATTTCCCACAAGCGCTGCTCCGTGCTCGCTTTTCCCTTTTGCTCCGATGGTACGTGTCAATTTCACACAAGCTGCTGCGTGGCCGCATTTTGCCCTGCAGCTTTGCGTGATTTTCCCGCATCTACTCAATCCTGTTTTTTGAGGATTGAGTCGACGCGAAGCTGCGGGGCAAAATGCAGCCACGCGGCAGCTTGTGTGAAATTGACACGTACCATCGGGGCAAAAGGGAAAAGCGAGCGCGGAGCAGTGCTTGTGGGAAATCGGCCTTAAACAAATCTTTTTTCATTTTTGAAGAGCCAGATTTGTTTCCATACTGAGCCACATTGGCTCTAGACTCGAGCCACAGGTTGCAGACCCCTGGTTTACTGGCACTTCCAGTATGAAATTGAACTAATTTTCTGCTCATGTGATGGAGGGAGGGAGGGATGGGATGTTCATTACAGAGATGCAGGGATAGAGGGAACCCATGCTCTGCATCTGTAGAGAATCATGGCCAGCTAGGGCTTTTTATTTATTACCAGCAAGAGGAAGTTGAGTGTAAAATGGGGGAGAGCCAAGTATAAATAGTCACAAAGATCACTGGTGACTTTGGGCCAACAGCACCATCTCCGAATGAAAATCCTCAGGATTGACTCAACTATGGACCAAAAATGTAACATCAAGTTAGGCCTGAAACCTTCAGGTCCACTTCTGATTCTCCCAGACACTAAAAGAAATCTCACAGCCTTAGGGAAACCTTTTCCTAATAATACTTTGAGTAGGAGGTGGGTGCGGTGGCTCAAGTAATTAAGACGCTGAACTGCAGGCTGCGGAAGGTCAGTAGTTCAGCAGTTCAAGACCCGGGTTGCCGCATGACAGAGTGAGCTCCCGTCTCTAGTTCCAGCTCCTGCCAACCTAGCAGTTCGAAAGCAAGAAATTGCAAGTAGATAAATAGGTACCACTTCGGTGGGAAGGGAACAGCGTTCCGTGCACCTTGGTGTTTAGTCATGCCGGCCACATGACCACGGAAACGCCTTCGGACAGCACTGGCTCTTCGGCTTTGAAACGGAGATGAGCACCGCAACCCTAGAGTCGGACTTGACTGGCTTTCGAGCAAGGGAAACCTTTACCTTTACCTTTAGGAGGTGGGACTCCAAGACTTGCTCCCTTCCCCCAAGATCAGTACAGAAGGCAGGAGGTTCATTGACACAGTGAGACAAATGAAAATACACAGATGGCATGGACAAGAGTTCAGGAACTCGGTTCACCCAGGCAAACCAGGGAGGGTGTTCTTGCATGTGTTTTCTGTGTCACTTACTTGCCTAAAAGCAGGTGCCTGGATTGTTCGAATGGGGGAACAAATAGGGACAACAGGGCACATTCTAACTTGGCCCCTGGCTCCCATTTGCCTTCAGTTGACCAATCAGCATCAGCCGTGCCCAAGTCAGCACCCCACAGCCAATCACAGGGCCCTGAAGCCGCAGGGCGGAAGCCCTTTCTTGGAGGTACAAAGAAAGAAGCACCATTTGGACAGTCTGCCAGAGATGAGTCATCCTATTGGTAAGGCCAAGGGCCACCGGGCCTTTGCGACTGTGCCAGTTGGCACGAGACCAATCCCCGCCTGTTCGGTAACATTGCTCCAGACGGAGTGCAGAGTCCACTTGTTCTGCGATTTGTTCCATTTTTAAGTCCCTTAAAAAAAAAAAATATGTAGCAGCATCTCTCTCTGGAAGGGGAGTCGGTTGGCGAGGCAGCAGCTCAGCTGCGCAGCTTCCTGAGCCTCAGTGCTGGATGACCATTCCGCTGGCGTGGGAGTGCGTCTGCGGAGAAAAAACACAATCCTTCATAGCTCCTTTTGGGCCGGTCGGGGAGGGAGACAAAGAACTGGGGGAGGGGGAGGGCCTAGCCATAGGAACGCACCAGCGATGTCGTCACCAGGGAATTTTGGGATGGGATTCATGCTAACCCAGGGGGATGCTATTGCACAGTAAAGGCACTGTGGAGAAGGACAAACGTATTTCCCCAACCCTCCTCTGATTGGAGAATCCAGTTGGAGATGACAACTAAAGCCACCTAGGTAAAGATAAAGGTTTCCCTTGCTCGAAAGCCAGTCGAGTCCGACTCTAGGGTTGCGGTGCTCATCTCCGTTTCAAAGCCGAAGCGCCAGCGCTGTCCGAAGACGTTTCCGTGGTCATGTGGCCGGCATGACTAAACACCAAGGCGCGCGGAACGCTGTTACCTTCCCACCAAAGTGGTACCTATTTATCTACTTGCAATTTCTTGCTTTCGAACTGCTAGGTTGGCAGGAGCTGGAACTAGAGACGGGAGCTCACTCCGCCATGCGGCAACCCGGGTCTTGAACTGCTGAACTATCGACCTTCCACAGCCTGCAGTTCAGCGTCTTAACCACTTGAGCCACCGCAGCTCCTAAAGCCACCTACCAGAATTCATTTTACCTATTAGTAAGGGCTGGGCATTTAGACTTCGGGATCTGGCGGAGATGGGCAATCTCCTGGTATATTTGGATAAAGGAAGGATATAAAACAGCAATCAGTGTGGCACCCACCGGCATCACAGTGCCCATGCAGGGCTTTTCTGTGATGGTAGGGACTGGTACTGAGTACTGGCATCTTTTTTAATCAGGGCTACCCCAAGTCCTGATCTTTGTGCACCAGCCTGCCCCACTTAGCCAAAGAAAGAGAGAATGAACCCTCAGGAACAGGCTAATAGGGATCTACACAGGGAAGGGGGGAATTGGTAGAAAGTAGCACAACCTTACATATGAGCACTGTATGTTTCCTGACACCCGCTTCTTACCGGCTAACAAAGTAGCAGAGCACTGAGCTCATTTCATTCAGGGCATCACAGCTAGAGTTCCCAACTCTCCCCCAGCAAATGCCAGGAGATTTTGGAGGTGGTGCCTTAGGAGGACAGAGCTTGGGGAGGCTGTGATGTCATTTCCAGGCGATGTTCTAGGCTGCCTCGCCTAGTCTCTATGATCTTCACCACAGATACTACTGCAAATTCCTAGAGTGTCACTATGTGGACACCATTTTTTTTCTCCTGCTCTGCAAGAAATTGGGGAAGGGGGCTAATAATTATGTACCCCTAGCTGGGTGAATGTGAGACCTAATCACACCCACGATACCTCAGCTTGGTCATGACTTCCTTATGTCTCTAAGTTTAGCAACCTCCTCCTGTGGCTGTGCAGAGAGCAAACCTTCGCCTTCCTTTGAAAATTAAAGCCAAACAGCAAAGCAAAAAGCTAATCCTGTGCCCAACGGCAGCCATTTTGTGGTGGTTCCACCCAAATGGCAGCCATTTTGTGATTGGCTCTGCTCTCCCATGGGGCACCCTGTTTACTTTTGTCGCATCAGGCTAACATGACTACCCTCTTGGAACAAGCCACACACTCCTTACCTTCATGGCCCGGTAGATCCAGGCCTGAAAGTCATTGACCTTGGTATAGACTCCCGGCTTATTGGCTAGTGCACAACCAGTGCCCCAGCTCACGATGCCACAGAGCCGCCAACGTGAAGTCTGTGAGATACCATCCTCACACACAAAGGGACCACCACTGTCGCCCTGTAGTACACAAAAAAGCAGGTACCAGTTGCCATGACCATACCACCTTCTCTTTCAGAGGGGCCTTCTTGAAGTACAGTAGGTTAATAGGAGGCCTTGGGGTCAAAAGGCTGGTCAAGATGGTGCCTTAAAGTTCATTCTAGAGCTTGAATTAGGGTTGCCACAGGTCTTGTTGATGTGCTGGCGGAGGGTCACAGGGAGCCTTCCGGTAATGGGGCGGGGCTTCATGATGCGATGACGTCACATGGAAGTGGTTTGAGGGCAAAACTCTACGGTAAAATTGCCTTCAAACCACAGAGTTTTGCCCAAAAACCAGAGCATCATTGGGCAGCATCCCCGATGTGAAGACATCACTTCCAGGTGACATCACCACATCAGGAACGTCGCCCAGTGATGGCACTGTTTGGGGGCAGGGTGTACAGGGAGCTGACCAGAGGCAGGCAGAAGCTCCCAAAACTGGGGGGGGTTTCCCACCTGGACCTGGGGAATGGCAACGCTAGCTTGAATCATAGCAACTTCTGGGTTGAAATCTGGTCCCCTAAAGGTTGCTAAGCAGTCATCATTTTCCGATTCTTCCCCCCCCCCCTTCCTCTCCCCTAACTTCCTGGGTCAGG